GGTGTGTGCCGAGAAGGGTATAAAACAGTGAGAGTTTACAGCCAGGAAACCTCCTGAAAATTCACATCCCCAGGTATGGTGTCTCTGCAAAGACAGCCAACATCATTTTTTTTTGAAAACTGAATTACTGAAGCCAGCAGTTGCTTTGATAAAATGTTAATTTCTGCTACAGACAATGAAATGAGGAGGATCATCATCGCCGTGAATTCACTAAATTGGTCATTCTCCATCTAGGGGCAGCTGCTTCCCAACCCTTCTCGCCACTGCGATCCCGTTTTAATTTGAGAAACTGAAATCAGGGAGGACTGTGTGAGTGAGGACCAGTTACATCGGAGGCATGGCTGTTGTATTTTAGTCTGAGGTCCAAGACAGCCATCACCAGCTCCAATCTCACAACCTCAAATACGTTAGCTTGTTGTCCCACTTGGGGTCTACTGCCCCAGTTTAGGAATGCCCTTACCAAGGGCAAAGTACGTGGCTGGTGCCAACACTGAGATTTTAATTTCTTAGAGGGGGCAGCTTCCATTAAACATGTAATTTTATTCTTATTCATGGCCCATGGACATTATTGGCAGGGCCAGCATTTATTGCCCATCCCTAGTTGCCCTTGAGAAGGTGGTGGTCAGTTGAACTTCTGCAGTCTATGTGCTGTGGGTTGACCCACAATACAATACCCTTAGGGAGGGAATTCCAGGAATTTTACCCAGGGACAGCGATGGAACGGCGGTATATTTCCAAGTCAGGGTGGTGAGTGGCTTGGAGGGGAACTTGCAGGGGCTGGTGTTCCCATGTATCTGCTGCGCTTGTCCTTCTAGATGGAAGTGGTCATGGGTTTGGAAGGTGCTGTCTGAGGTTCTTTGGTGAATTTTACTTCAAATTAAGACGGAATGGTGTCCCCCAAGATACAAAATTATATCCTTGGCTTCCAGGATTTATTTTTGCTCCTGACATTCCAAGTCTTTGGCCAAAAGGGCTTCCTTTACTAATCCAGACATGCAGTATCTCTCTACACTCTACATCCTTCCTTACAACACGTTTCTTGAAAGTAGCTTTCAAAAGAAAAGAAAACTTCTGTTGATCCTCAAATCTCACAAGCTCCTCATTTCCTGACAGATAATCCACGTGACCACAGGCTGATTATAAAGTGTTTCACTCATGGGGCAGGGCTGTTTCTGTCTGGGCATGCAGTTACTGCTCACGCCAATTTGTCGTTGAGGCAGTGAAAGAGAGTTGCCTCTTGAACATGCTGTGGTCCACTGGAATGAAGGTTACTTTACTTCATTCAAAGAAGACAACTCTGTGGTTTCAGTACCTGGCTAATAAAAACAAAATACTGCAGATGCCGGAAATCTGAAATAAAAACAGAAAGTGCTGGAGAAACTCTGCAGGTCTGTGGGGAGAGGAAGCTTCAAGTCTGATATGCCTCTTTTTCAGTACGCTACTGTCACTTTTGTGTATTACTCAACTGTAAATAAATTCAACTATTTGGCATTAACCTGTTGCAGGTTTGATGATGAACTGATAGAAAGGCCGAGAGAACACAGCAGACAGCTCACATTTGCAGTGAACAGGTCATGATCCCAAGGTCTCTGGTTAAAGCTGAGCATGTGAACCCACGCAACGTATCATCTCCGAGCAACACAAGTTTCACTAGAGTGGTGCTACCAGCTGCATATGCAAATTTCCCACTGGCCTGTGAATATGGAGGGTTAGGGGAAAATCTCTGAACTATAACAACTTCATTTCTTGATACATCTCATCATGTGCTAGGTTTCCAATCTCAGTCAGACGCTTAGCAGTAAGGAAAATAAACCGAAGGTCAGCAAGACACTGGAAATGCAAAACAGAAACAGCTGGAGAAACTCAGCAGATCTTGCAGCAACTGAGGAAAGACAGCAGAGTAAACAGAGTAAACCAGAGACCCTTCTTCAGAACTGAGCAGAAAGAGATCTGCTTCCTTGGAGAGACAGGGGGAGAGGGAGAACACTGCATTGGCCCTTACTTGTAACTACTTGTCGACAAGTATCAATAGTAATAGTGAGAGATAGCAAGAACTGCCGATGCTGGAGTTAGAGATAACACAGTGTGGAGCTGGAAGGACACAGCAGGCCAGGCAGCATCAGAGGAGCAGGAAAGCTGATGTTTCGGGTCGGGACCCTTCTCCAGAAAAGATTTTAAAAGGGTCCCAACTCGAAATGTCAGCTTTCTTGCCCCTCTGATGCTGCCTGGCCTGCTGTGTTCCTCCAGCTCCACACTGTGTTATCTCAATAGTAACAGTGATGCTTGATACCTCCCAACTCTACCCTCGCCCCCAGTGCATGGACCCAAGGATATGCTGGGAAATAAACTAAAGGGATCTTCCAAGTATAGAGATTACTTTGCCTTATCTATTCAAAGGCTATAACCTCCTACAATGAGAGAGAATGAGTAGAGAGTCCAGGCCCTTGTAGGTCACTAGTAATGGAAAATTGATGAATAATAATAGTCAAAGAGATTACCACCACATTAATTTCTATGTAAATATGCAACAACATAATTATTTTCAGTGTTAATACACAGCAACATAACCTGTAAAAATTACGAAACCATCCTCACTTTTCTGAATCTGGGGATATTGAATAGGGGCAATTGATTTTAATTCACTCTCGGGACATGGGTGTCGATGGCTAGGCCCAGCATTTATTGCCCATCCCTAGTTGCCCTTGAGAAGGTGGTGGTGAGCTGCCTTCTTGAACCGCTGCAGTCCATGTTCTGTATGTACCTTGTTGACCTGCCACTTATTCTGGCTTCTTGTATTTGAACAAGAAATAAAATCACTCACTGGTGACATTCGCTACCTATCCAGTACACACTGGTCGTCAGGTTAGATTACGTACTGAAATTCTGCAGTGGGATAGAGCCCATAGTCATCTGGCTCAGAAGTCAGAGTGTTTGAGCCCAGCTGACTCTACACACAGCCCCTACCCAAAATATAAAAAAACATAAATAGGAATTGCTGGAAAAGCTCAGCAGGTCTGGCAGCATCTGTGGAGAGAAATCTGAGGGAGGGTCAATTCACCCGAAACATTAACTCTGATCTCCCTCCATACACCCTGCCAGACCTGCTGGGCTTTTCCAGCAATTTCTGTTTTTGTTTCCGATTTACAACACCTACAGTTCTTCTGGTTTTTATTTCGTGAATTATACAGGACTTGCTTCATGAATAATGTGACCCAATGTTCTGAGCTGAATGTGGGTTGTGCATGATGATTAATGGAGAGGCAGTGGCATAGTGGTGATGTCACTGGGCTAGTAAAGCAGAACCCCATGCTCTTACTCTGGGGATATGGGTTCAAATCCCACCCTGGCAAAGAGTCGAGTTTGAATTCAATGAAAAGAAAAATCTGGAATTAAAAAGCTAGCCTAATGATGACCATGCAACCAAAAAATAAAACAATCTGGTTCACTAACGCCCTTTAGGGAAGGAAATCTGCCACCCTCACTCTGATCTGGCCTACATGTGACTTCAGACCCACAGTAATGTGGTGGACTCTTAACCACCCTCTGGGCAATAAATGCAGTTGGCAAATGCCATGGTAGCATTCATTACAAGAAATGAGCTTCTGATGCTATATAAGGCTCTGGTCAGACTGCAAGTGGAACATTGTGGGCAGTTTTGGGCCCCGTATCTAAGAAAAGATGGGCTGGCTCCTTGGTGGGGGTTCAGAGGAGGGTTACAAGAATGATCCCGGGGGTGAAGGGCTTGTCATATCAGCAGTGGTTGAAGACTTTGGGTCTGGACTCGATAAGAGTTTAGAAGGATGAGGAGGGTTCTGATTGAAACTTACAGAATACTGAGAGGCCTAGATAGAATGGATGTGGAGAAGATGTTTCCATTTACAGGAGAGACTAGGACCCGAGGGCACTGCTTCAGAGGGAAGGGATGACCCTTTAGAACTGAGATGAGGAGAAACTTCTTCAGCCAGAGGTGGTGAATCTGTGGAGCTCGTTGCTGCAGAGGGCTGTGGAGGCCAAGTCATTGATTGTATTTAAGACACAGATAGAGATTCTTGATTGGTAAGGGAATCAAGGGTTATGGGAAGAAGGCAGGAGAATGGGGTTGAGGAACACATCGGCCATGATCGAATGGCGGAGCAAACTCGAAGGGCTGAATGGCCTAATTCTATTCCTGTATCTTATGGTCAAGCTGGCCCAGCCAGCCACACCCATATCCCATGAATAAAAAATAACTCCTTTTCATCTCTCCTTCTCTGCAACCATCTCTGGACCCTCCAACAATATCTAGCCTGGGTTTGATGCTCATGTCTCTCACGTGCTGTGCTCAGTTTGAGGCCTGTTTCCCTTCCTGAACAGCTGGAGGGTGAGCGCTTTACAGAGTTTACGAAC